AAGTTTTTTTCGAATGAACGACAAAGTACCATGGGAATATTTTATTCTTTGGTTTTTTCGTCTTTTTTTTGGGAAATCATGAAAAATTTATCCTCGCCTTTTAGAAAATTATTTCGCCTAGGGTCATCTAGGGATTTAGGGAAATGACGTCAGCGCAGGGAAGGAAGGATCTGCTGTGCCAGTAGAGAAGAGTTGGCCTCGATATCATCTGCCCGGAGCTATGGGTTATGTATTTCGTGTGCTGGAAGGGTGGAGTCTTTAGAAAGGCTGAACTAGCGCTGAGACGAAAAATAAAAATATTTCTACTTCCAGAAAACATGCCAAAGGTACAAATAGAAAATGCAACGACGGGATCAGAGTCGATGAAACGTTTTCTCTTGTATACGAATATGATCGACCGTGCAAAAGCGTAGTCGGTTGCAGAAAAGATTATTTAAATTATTCATCCCATTAAACGAGCATTATAAAAAAAGAAGTGTAATAATAGACGCCTCGTAATTCCATTTCACGTAAATAATTTCCTTCAACGATAATAACAGACTCATTGTGGAAATCAAGTTACGTAATCCAACCGTCGCAGGGATTTGAGAAAGTTATGTGCGTCACGAGATACATATACAGATATGTATATATAATCATATAACAAGTATAGTTTGAGGACCCAGGCGATTAAGGGGCATTCGCAATAGCAAGCTAAAGTTTTTATTTAGCTAATACCCTCACGCATCACAGCATTGAAATTCTAACCTAACCTAACGTAACCTAACGAAACACTTTCTAAGCTCATAACAACTCCGGATGTCTAGCATTAAAAAAAAAAAAAAAATTTGGTGTGACAGTCGCTTTATGGGCCTCAAAACATACATTATGTTGAAAAAACTTTGAGGTCCGACCCGAAACTATACAATTGTTCTCAAACTAGCGGCTGTATTACTCAAACTGTCCCCAAACTACACTTTATTAATGTATATTAGAATAAATGCAAAATCGTCGTGACACAACCCTGTGATACGGTATACAAATACATAAAACGTTAAGTCTCCCTTGCCAGGACTACCGTGTGGAACAAGATACAAAAATCCTTATAAAATATATTTAATAAAAAAAAAAAAAAAAAAATTTTAAATTACAAGAGATAGATACTTTTATTTCACCATGAAATTTTGCGATTAGGACAATAGCTTTGCATCGAAGAGCCCGAAGAAAGTGACTTAGACTGCGATGCGTTCTTCCGAAAGATTCGTATTTACTCTAAAACGGCGGATATCGGATTCGCGCAGAAGTGAATTGCTGGAAAACGATTCCGACGGTCCGTCCGGGTGCACTTAGCGAGTCCAAAGTTGTAGTAAATCGCAAAAAGCCGATATTTCCGCGGTAATCTCTGCGCCGGAAAGCAGTGCAGTATGCTGGACTGCAATGAGTTACGGCTCACGATGCAACAGTTTAGTGCATCGAGAAAGTGCATCTAGTAAAATTCATGGAAGGTTGGAACCACGCCGAGTACTTGTTGCCTCTCCGACGTCTCGCATCCCTTATAGCTTCTTCTCTTATTCTCTCGAACCACCCCCTATAGTCAGCATCACTCCCACTCTCTCTCCCCTCGACCCCTTATACAGAACGATGCACAACACAGTCTCACCCTCGTTCTCTTTCTCTCCCCGCGAGTCTGACTCGCTCCATCCCCCTCCCACCCCCTACCCGTCCCTTTCCACCTTTATCCGTCCGTATGATCATGCCATTCCACGGTGATGATCCTCTGCTCAGCGGGGCTTATATTCTCCTTCCCAGCGGCCAACCCCGTCAGAGACAAGGCGTACATAGCAGGGGTTGCATATAAGCGACTATGCTTCATCCACAGGGCCACTCATCTTTTAGCCTACGCCATGCAGAACGTGGCATTTGTATGAATATCAACGCTCTTCTGTTCTCTCTGGCTGTTTCTGTTTTTCTCTTGATTGTCCTTCTCCCTTCCTCTTTCTTTATATTTTTTTTTTCCGTCAGTCCTCTCCCTCTGTGCAATTCCGTGCGATCCTCCAGTGCAAATTCCTCCAGCCGTAACCTCGTCTACTGGCTGGAATGTCGGCCTTTTAAACACAGGAGGCTTGGGATATTCGCATGTCGCGCATATACGTATTAAATATTCTTAGGTCACTGGGTATGTAGAACGTCGACAAGAGACAAATGCATCCTTTTCATTCACTGGGACGTAAATACGCGTTGCGTCCTCCACGAGGTCTTTGCACAATGAAAGGTCAGACACTCGGCTAAGGATTTTGGGCATTATTTTCTCTTTTATTTTTTTTTTTTGGGTGCAAATCGACTTGTTATTAAGGGTCATTTTGCCCTTTGCAAGTTTTCGACATGTCACCGGCCTCCGTCGCTCGGCGCACGTTGCTGAAATCGTACGAGTATGCGAGAGTTCTCCGTATTTGTACATTTGTAGTTACGTAATTACAATACCCGCGTATAGATACATGGAATCTCTTGGACAGAGGGGTGGAATTGAAAAGGGGTTGTTCCGAGCAAGCGAATTCTAGAGGAACCGTGGAATCTAATCAGTAATCACGCTTGAAAAACCTCGACGAACGAGCATTACAACTCATTACACAAAGTACATGTACAACCCTGTTTGTTGGCTTTTACGACCCTTAATTATATTAAGGGTACTCTGCTGTCTTACGGCCGGTCAGATGCATTTAGTACGCAGGTAAATAGCGAAAATCGATAACGGTAGTGCTTATCATATTTTTAAGGGTGGGATGGCGAAAAAAAGAAAAGTTGAACAAATAAAAAATTTCCGGCTATATCGAAAATTCGTAATTATTCGTAAAAATTTATAGATTAACGTCAGAAAAGCGGATTGTCGATAAACGCAAACTCGTTTTATTGCACCGGAACGCGAATCTCCAGCGGTAATGCAGCAGAAAACTGACAAGCAATTGCAATCCGGTGAGCAGCGGGATTTGCTCGGTCCTCGTCAAATTGCAACTACTTCAGTCTCACGGACCAATGCAGACTCCTCTGGGTCGACTGGATACTTAGTTTATTTTTTTATTTTTTTATTTTTTTCCTTACCCTTTTCCAGTAATAGGACCGATCAATGAAGCCGCCAGGGAAAAATTCGTTATCGCTTCTTTCACACATAAATCCCGTAATTTTTCATCGCAACGTCGTTCGACAATATTAACGTTATTACATGACAGGTAGCTCTATTACGTCACCAAGGCTTAACCTGTCACCGAGGCTCATTGACTTTCATCTAACGTCAATGAATGAGTCTCGAAAACAATGGCTGTCCAACACCGTGAATGCCTTCGGTTCCAAATTATATAATTCGTTCAGGTAACTGTTATTTGCAAATGAGCTTCGTTTTTTTATTTCCAAAGAATTTGAAAGTTCACGCAATCTCTTTTCTTCGCCCAGACTGTACCGAACCGATCCACTTTTCAACGCCGCAAAGTCTGAAACGAATAATCCGCCAATCCCGTACAGTCCGTTAACGTCCAAGCGATTTCATCCTTCATCAGTCGAGTACAGTGTCGCCCAGCGAGGAGTAGAGTGCAATGTCTCTATCTTCTTTTTCATCTTTCAACTGTCTCTCTCCCTCCCCCCCCCCCCC